CACACGACACACACACACACACACATATATATATATATATATATATAAGTATATACACATATATTATACACTTTTGTATAGATGTTCCTGAAGTCGACCCATACCAGAAACGAGTGGTAAAACAATGGCACGGCGATAAAGAACACCCCTCTGCCTTTTTCTCGCACAATCGTCACAGACGCAGTCACCCCGAGAAGGTGTTTCTCCAGCCTATCATCGGCCAATAATTGGGCCTTTTTTGCCTTAGCCATGCCTTCATCGAGATGCCTGTTGTCTGTGGGGTGATCTCCCGCATACCCACAGCCGTTGCCAGTACGAGTGTACTGCGCAGAGGCTGTGGTGCCGTCTACAGGTTTGTGCAGTGATACAGTGAAATGGATTACCATGCAATTTATAAAAATTTCATATATACATATATACGTATAGATATAACATACATATATGCATATTTACAGATATACATATGTACATACATACATACATACATATATACACATATACATAATATACATATAAATAAACATGCACATATAATTATATATCTATAAATGTACATTTATACATAAATGGATATACATACATAAATACATATATACAAGTACCTACTCGCTTACTATAACCGCAACATGGCAAACATGATATATTCATGCTTGTACAAAGACAGGGGAATAAAAGTATATCATGTATAGACAACTACATACATATATACATATATGCATAAATATATATATACATACATATATACATACATATATATGAGTACACACACATATATACAAATACATACCCACTTGCTCCGCTAAAAGACCTGTAATTGCCAGCTGGAAACCAGCAATAGCGTCTGAATCAACCGAACGTCGTGTGGTAACCACTGCGTGATAGCGTTTGTAAAATCCATCCCCGAAGGCCGCTAAGGTAGCGCTGTCCTATGCACATCCGGAGAAAGAGGTGTGTAGACGCTTACGGTTGAGTATACAGCTATGTGAGTATAGATGTTGTACACGCTCAGAGACTTATTTAGGATTATAATACGTATTGACATATGGCCAAATGTGTATATATGCAGTACATGAAGTATCATTTACGTTTGGGTGCGTAGAAGGTTCAATCAGAGTCCAATTGAATCCATTGGAGATGCTCACCCAAAAATATATAAATGTATATGGAAGCCCACGTTCTATATATAAGTTGTGGCGATAACTATGGTAGGTAGAGTTGATTCAAAAACGTCACACATACCGATGTATAACAAAGGCCATCCGGTATATAGATAGAACACTCGGTTCTATAAATAGCACATACTTTAGACCATCGTTACAGGTCGACGCAGGTGGCAGCTGAGTACAGCATGAGCACAAACATCTCCAACATATTGCTGTATAACGAAGGCCATCCAGTATATAAATGGAACACTCCGTTCTATAAATAGAACTCTCAGTTTTATAAATAGCCCATACCTTGGCCCACCGTTCCAGGTCAACCCAGGTAAACGCTTTGGTACAGTCCGGACATGCAGGCGTTTGGCGCGTGGTGAATCGCTCAACCCAAACTATCTCCAACACATAGCCGCAACACGCCAAACTGATGGAGGTGCCTGCTATGGTTTCCATGGCAACCTGTATCATAAACGTATCATAAACGTATCATATGGACAGATTGAGTGTATTCCAAGATATGAGCGGACGGTGGACTATGATATGCACAACTAAACAGATGTGACGACAGTGATAGAGGGGATTGTACGACTGCTCTGTAGTCACACTACGATAAGTGCGCGGAGGTGCCTGTGCTCACGTTGACGACAATCTGTGACACATATCCAGAAAGTCCCAAGTTTTCAGCGGGTAGTGGTTTTTAATAGGAGATGAAGAAAAGTTTCAATATATTGCTATATATTGTTTAGTACATTTTTATTACTATGGCCGATGTGTAGTGAACTTTTATACGAGATGAATAAACACATTATATAGTATTAAGGTATTATTTGATACATTTAATATTATTGTAGCCTAGCTGCAGTGAACTTTAACATCAGATGGAAAAAAGGTTCAATACATTATAATATAGTACTGAATAAATCTACACACACACACACACACACATATATATATATATATATATATATATAATCTACTTGACAAGCGCACAGTGGATACAAATACTCACCTGGGTGTCCTCTGGCATGTCTGTGATGTCCTCATTGCTTGTCGGTTGTCCCATTGAACGAGTTCTGACGCCAGGGCGAGTTCGGAGTAGTCCCTGAATGCACAGTATGAAACAAACATGGCCTCAGATGATACCTACACACTCAGTCACACCCAGTTGCTATAACCAGTACAATACAATGTATATGCGTATTAAACTGTGAATAGTACGTTCATATACATTCATACACAGCTATAAGCAGTGCAAGTATATGCGTACTACTCTGTTAATAGTACGTTCATATACATTCGTACACATCTATAAGCAGTGCAGTGTGTATGCGTACTACTCTGTTAATAGTACGTTCATATACATTCATACACAGCTATAGTATATGCGTACTACTCTGTTAATAGTACGTTCATATACATTCATACACAGCTATAGTATATGCGTACTACTCTGTTAATAGTACGTTCATATACATTCGTATACAGTTATAACCAGTACATTACAAAGCACGTGCGTGCTACTCTGTGACTGGTGCCTGAACACACCCATTAGGGACAAACAAAAATAAGATGACACATACACATCTAGTTATACCCATCGTGTTTCTGTGCATATGCGTAGTACGGTAAAAGGCGGTGCCTGTACGCACACAGCAGAGGTCAAACACGTATCACAAACGGTGACTAGTGGCCTACACGTGGTTGTTGCTCTGCAGGTTTAGTGTTTGTATCAGATGTATCTGAGATCAATTATGTCGAGAGATGCGGGCGATGTACTTGGGCGGTGCGTACGTATTATCTAGAGTGAGTATCTATGCTAGTTACATGACTCTCTTACAGACACCTAAGGAACGGGTGAGGGGGAGTGGTTGCTATGGCAACGACTGGGCTGGCTTACCTACCAGTTCACCACCCAATGAAAGGTCTCTACAAAAGTGTTCATTCAGTTGAAGATCGCACCTCTGAGCATTGTTTCAGGGGTTTTAGGGGTCTTCAGGGGTTTTTTTGCACGTCTTGTATATCTCACAAGAACACGTACACACAGAAAGCTTCACACAGAAGGCTTCACTCGCACGATAATCCTAAAAAACTGGCAAGTGTCCATCTATACGCAGTACATTATGATGTTCGGTACTTTGTACCATACTACAAGTGCTATAACATTTCCCACACTAGGCTTCACTCGCACGTTAATCCTCTTACAACTGGCAAGTGTCCATCTATACGCAGTACATCATGATGTTCGGTACCTTTTACCATACTACAAGTAAAATATCATTCCCACACTAGGCTTCACTCGCACATTAATCCTCTTATAACTGGCAAGTGTCCATCTATATGCAGTACATCATGATATTCGGTACTTTATACCATACTACAAGTGCTATAACATTTCCCACACAAGGCTTCACTCGTACATTAATCCTCTTTTAGCTGGCATGTGTCCATCTATACGCAGTACATCATGATGTTCGGTACTTTATACCTTAATACAAGTGCTATAACATTTCCCACACAAGACTTCACTCGCACATTAATCCTCTTTTAGCTGGCATGCGTCCATCTATACGCGGTGCACCATGATGTTTCGGTACCTTATACCATACTACAAGTCGTGGTAGCGTAGAGAGAGAAAGAGTGAGCTGTTTCGAGTCACGGCAATAGGCACTCAGCTACAATACATATAACGCGCACATACATTTGCGAAACACATAACTGAACTATATATGAAGCACACATACACCTGCTCAAAACATGAATGCAATAGGTACGAAGCACACATACTTTGGCGGATACAGTCCGAGTTATAACGCCCTCTCGACGACTCGGCTGATTCTACACACAATATGGATATGAACTATTAGTCACACCATAGCGAAGATGTCCTCCAATAGCCATATGAGGGTAGTGTGAAACCTAATGAGTGTCACTACAAGCCACGAAGTGTGTTATGATCAGACAATACAGATATCGTAAAGGACCACAATGTAGAAACACCCAGAATATGGGATTTAGATGCATACATTATATATATATAATATATATATACATATATATATATATAATACAATACCCATGTTTATAAAGATATATATATATATATATATATATATATATATATATATATTATAATAATAATAAAGTAAAANAATAACTATAATATATATATATATATATATATATAT